GTCCCAGTCCCTTTCCGCGCGCGCGAGCCCCGGGTGAGCCCCGTACCTCTGTGCTTCTCTCCTGCAGCTTCTCTGGGTCTCAGTGTGCCTTTCCTTCCTTCTAGTTGTAGAGTTTACAGTCAGCCAGGCTTCCTATGGTTCTGGATGAAGTCCGTATTGTTTCTCTGAGGTATTAATCAATTGTTGTGCGCGGCATTAATTTCCCGGTGTTTATCTCTGCCGCCATCTTAGTTTCTCTACCTATTTAATCTTATTGGTTGCTTTTTCTTGAGTCCATTCCAGGTTTCTTTCATCTCTCTGAAAGCAGAACTGGACACTGTTTTCTCACATGGTTCTCACCCCTGTATGTTTAGCAGAAGTCCTTCCTGACTGCTAACTCTCCGTCTGCTATAGGAAGTCACAGTAAATGCCAATCTAGACATTTACTAATACCAGATGAGGATTCTGATCCCCTCAATCAAAAATGTATTCCTGCATCCCTTTCTAATACTGTGAATCCTCTAATGGCCCATTTACCAATTTACCCACTGGTAAAACCCAATGTAATTTGCCTGTTCTCACAGCATCCAGGGCTATTCACAATCTGGTCCCCACGACTTCACCAGCCTTCTCCCCTGTCATTGCCTCCCACCTAACACATGTCTCCTTAGTCACCCTGAACAACCTGCACTCGCACACACTGTGCCTTCTCTGGAATGTTCCGACTCTCAAGCACTTGGGAAATTCCTTAGCATCTTTCAAGAGTGAACTGAAGCATGACATTCTCCAAGAAGGCTTTCCTTATTCATCCCACAGCATTGTGTGCATACTTCTCTACAGAATTTAGGAAGACGTTTGCTTATTTGTCTTCCTTAAGTTCCTTCTTTGAAGGCAGGGCCTACATTTTATTTTTCTAGCCCCAATGCCTGTTGTGCATGAGGAACTTAAGAAATGAATGAATGAACCACATTCATTCTTCAGTCTTAGAACAAGCACCATGTCCCAATACCCTCATCATTTTGGCTTATTTACCTATTGTCTTGCCCTGGGGCTCAGAGCCCACCTAGCGGTTGCCCTCAAGCCCAGAGCAATAGCACTTGTCACGTAGGTGACTATAGAAGAAAATCCAACCCTTCAATTGTATACAGAGTTCATGTCTTCACACAGTTTATACAAAACCTTATGCTGTTTTATCCTAAATAACTGTATGCATATGGATTTTCTTAAAAGAGCAAATGTTTTAATTCTTATAGTCCCCAGAGTTTGAAATTAGGAATTTAGTTAATTATAAAGATCTTTCCTCTTCATTTCCTCTTGGAAATGATAGAATTTTTCCTAATCCCCTGATGCAGTTTAGATCTTTTTAAAAAAATGAGGCTTTCCCAGGGTTTTGAGTTAAGATGGTGGATTAAAACTGCATCAGAGAACTTCTAACCTCCAATACTTAGCAAATAATAAAAAATACTCCCTCCCCATAAAGAACAATTACAAACAAGAACCAAAGAGGAAAAGGGTATAACTGAAGGTAAGCGAATTCAAACATTGCATGGAAAGGACAAAGAAGGTTCCAGAGTAGAGTGGAGAAGCATGTCATGGAGAAGCTCCCAACCCCGCTCCTTTCCCCTGAAATGTCCAAATATCTTTGCTTAGGAAATATTGAAGCATCTTAATTGGTATTTTTAGGGAAAATAGCCATGTTGAAATAGCAATATTTAGGGGAAATAGCAATAGTTCTGGGGCAACCAATTTGCAAACTGCAAAAAAAGTAGGCAATATGGGAGCAAGGGGAAGGCGGGGGAAGGAGAAGCCAGGAGGCATAGAGAAGTATAGCGTGGATGATCCAAAATGCTCCTCTGTCTCTCCAGTCAATGACAGTGAGGTGATTTCTAGAAAGAGAGTTCTATCTGTGAATTCCTAGTAGAAGTGAGGTACACACAGGTCTTCTATGTGGGGAATCAGGATGTATGACGTCTTCTGGGGTTGCTGGTCAAGTTACTGCTTCCTGGACAAGGGGAAAGTGAGATCAACTCTTTTTCCTTGGAGAACTCAACTAAGAAGCCATGGAATGGCCTACAGCTTTATGCAAACATTTTGGCATTAATTTTTTCCTGATTGGTTGATTAGGGTTTGGATAATTTTCTCAAATAGTTCTGGGATCAGTTCAGCTTTAGGCCCAGATTATTTTCTTGGCCCATAAATGGAAGATTACCTGTAAATTATCCAGGATGATCCGGAGGGAGTGCACCTGCCTTCGGACAGCACCTGAGAACCTTTCGTAAGTTGTGGCATCATATTCACTCATTTGGATCTCTTTCAGCCTGAAATCAAAGGGGGCAAAAAAGACAGCAGCTGATATTATGTGCATCGGTCTTTTAGTTCCATTCCTTACTGCTAGAGCTGAGGTAAACTTCAGAAAGGGTATAACACAGGGGTTCTCAACCTGTGGGTCGCGATCCCTTTGGCAGTCGAATGACCCTTTCACAGGGGCCGCCTAAGACCATCCTGCATATCAGATATTTACATTATAATTCATAATAGTAGCAACATTACAGTTAGGAAGTAGCAACGAAAATAATTTTATGGTTGGGGTCATAAAATGAGGAACTATATTTAAAGGGCCAGAAGGTTGAGAACCACTGGTATAACGGAAGTTAATCAGCTTCAAACTTCAACTTCATGGGAAGGACACAGAACAGAGTGGAGAGGCACGTCATGGCTTCTCCAGGCTGCCTTTGAGGAGAAAAGCAAAAGGCAAGGGGTGACGTCTCAGCTAGGAGCATAAAAGGAAGAGAACGTCCAGTGGCGTGCTGGCAAATTGTTAACGCGTCGCCCTCCAGGACAAAAAAGAAAGTCATGCTTTGTAGTATTTGCTCATTTCTGTGGTGTAAATACCATGATGGGTTTCAAGCTGCCAACAATGAGTTCGCTAACACTGAGTTAGAAAGAAATGTGCACAGTTGGCTCTCACACTGTCGCTATATCCCAAAGACGTGCCTCGATGTTGGCAGCGAGTCAGTTTGTGTGGAGGCTCCTAGTTGCTTTGTAAGACCAAGGACGTATATTTGGTTGACTAAGTTAATAGTTCAGGCCCAAAGAATGTAATTAATGTGCTGCTATGGGAAATAAAAGAGTTTTCTGAAATTGCTGATGTACTTTTAATAGGATAATTGTATTTTAATATTGTGGCTTTGAAATCCCTCCCTCCCAGTACAGTGCTCCTCTTTACTGTTGTTCATCATTTGCCTCTGCTGGGGCCTGCCACGTATGAGAGGTTTCCCGAGCATCACGTGCCTGTGCCCGGAGCTCCCACACAGGTCCTTGTCACATTAGAGCCTTTCCCTGCCTCTCTGTCTACTAGTTTCCACATACTCGTACTCGTCAAGACTCAAATCGATGGTCAGCTCCTCTGGGAAGATGTTCTGATTCCCCAGGTCTGTCTGCCATTGTTACTTCACACCATCACTATCAGAGCACTTACTACCTGTCCTGTCTCCCCACCAGCCTCTACGCTCTTTTAGGGAATGGCTGGGTCTTTTTCATCTTTCTATGTACGGCGGCTAGCATGGTACCTAGCGTATAATAGGTTTTCAAGATAAACTGAAATGAATGACCAAAATAAAAATAAGACTCCAAATCATTAAAAATGCAGCATCTTAAACTAATCACACATAGAAGTTCATTCACCGAGAGAGCTTTTCTTAGGTTTTTATAGTGTCATATTCATAATACACTAATTTGGTTACACATTCTTAGAAGTTTCTATAAATGTAACGGGTGCTGACACTAGAACACAGCACCGTCTTCTAAACTGCTGCATGTAATTGCATTAGTGTGTGCGCATGTGTGCAAAGTTGGAGGTATGGGTCCCAGGTGTGTAGCTGAAGCTGTTATCTAAAGTATATTTTTCTCACCCTGGGCTGCAGTGAGAATGAATGGTCTCTGTTCCTTCCTGGCAGGCCAAGCTCTGGGGAGAATCCATCCATTGCAAGACAGAGTACTTACCAGAATCACATAAAGTTCGGCCTAGACTGCCACAGGGAAGATCTGCAATCCCTGCCCTAACACCTAGCTGGGTTAGTTATCGCCAACTCAGGTTTCAAGACCCAGCTCGAAGGCCACTTCCTAAGGAATCCTGCTTGACCTCTCCAGTAACCTGATCACACCCCTTCACTGTCTTCCACAAATATCTGCTATAGAACCTATACACTTTATTGCCTTTAATAGCTATGTTTGTTTCCATCTGTCATGATGTTTTCAAACTTTATTTTCTACAATAAGAAATAAGCTTTAATACACTGAAATACAGGATACACAAATGCATATGTGTGTGTTTTTAACTGAACCAAAAATTTAATAAAAAAGGTTTACTGCATGTGATACACTCTGATATTCTCTTCTATTCCTCTGGGAGGAGAAATATGTCTTATTTTTTCTCTGAATCTGCAGTACCTAATGCAATGCCTGGCATACAGTGGCACTCAATAAAAGCTGTTACATAACACTTTGAAAAAACACTATCAAAAGAGAAATACCTGAAAGGTAAATAATATCTGAATGCTTGTTTCCTGAGGTGACATGCCAAGGTGCCCTTCTAAATTTACTCTCTATTCTGAAGAACAAAAACAAATATGTGTATAGGACTTGACCTCCTAACAACACTTCTCATATTTAGTTTTGGCAATGTCTTAAACCTCTTTGTACATTTTCATTAGATGTTATGTTTCAAGTATCAAGGTGGAGAGAAGCTGGGCACAATGAATATTACTGGATATGCTACCTACCACTGCATACCTAAGAGGACAATATGCTTTTCCCCAAAGAAGAAAGATTAGAAAAAAAATTGTAGCCATAGCTTATCCTTAGCAGTGGGAAAATACACACACACACACACACACACACACACACTCACACTAAGCACACACATACAGCCACAGACATATACACACACACTAAACACACACACACACACACACACACACACAAACTCACACTCATTTCACACATACACTTACAGACATATACACACAAACTCATTTCACGCACACATTCACACACACACACACACACACACACACACACACACCCCAAGGAAGGAGCCAGGAAGTTGGTTTTAGTAGAGAGATTGGAATTAGCTCACATAGGGCTACCTCTGGCACAACCACGTTGCACCCAAAACATACCACATGCTGTTTTAATTCTGAAGAAATCTGGAATCATATCCCAGACTTTGTCAGCTTTCAGAAAGATCACCTACAAGGTATTCAAAAGCGATAACAAATTCTGAAAGATGAACACTGAAGCAAGGAATGGGGAAAGGAAATGGGTAATTTTAGGCTCTGTATCAGACAAGCTGCCCAGTGCTAATACTCTCAAGCCCACAAAACTCGCTGAAAATAAGTCTTTCTGCTACTTTACCCCTGACCAAAACTGCAGGGCACAGCTGCTTCCCATCCTAGTAATCCATGTGGACTAACTGCACTCTGTTGGCACAGCATATTCTTACAGGGTATATTTATTGTTATGTAAGAGTCTGGGAATTTAAGTTTTCATTTTACTTTTTTGTGTAGGTCAGACTTAAATACTATAATTTTGGATCAATTATGAGAAAAGCAAACATAAGCTGAGATCCATAAGCTAACCTCCCTGTGTAAGCCTGATTAGTTTTGCAAATGGTAGTTGGTACAATTTCCATCCTAAATGTTTTTCTAAGCATGTAAAAGTACCTTACTGTCTATTTCATTCATGTTTTATTGGTTAATATTTATGCTGTGCTTCATGCATGTCTTATGCTTCTCTACTTCTGTTATCTGTTCCTGTTCCTGAGTTAATAAATTTTGATATATAGGAACCACTATCTAGATGAAATCCATATGCAAGTGAGTGCTAACTCAATGCTGTGTTGATGATGTCAAGAACCCATCAGCTGTATTAGGGAATATGGTGGGCCTCTAGGCTGATGGATAGCTCTGTCTGTCTTGTCTGATTTTAGCCAGACTCTCAGTTAAGTATTAAAGGGGGACACCATCACCTCTATGAAGGTGCACTTTATTCATTCTACAAATATGAGTGTTTGCTGTGCATCAGGTTCTGGGCATAGGTCTGAGGATATATTATAGAACAAAATACTCTGACCTCAAGGAACTTAGTCAGTGGAGAGGCAACTATTCACACAACTGATGATATACTGGGAGAGTGATAAGAACTGTGAGAAAAGGGACAAAAGCATAAATGAGGACTTGACCTCATTCTGCATATGCCTACAGCTGCAAAATAGCTTTAAAACTATTTGAATTACTTTTTTGTAGACATACTAGTATTGTGTGTGTGTGTGTATGTATGTTTCAGAGTCCTTATCTTTCAAAGATATACTGTTAAATATTTATGATGAAAAGATAGAATACTTTAGATTGGCTTCCAAATAATCCAGGGGTGGGCACTGAGAGTAAAGCCAGACTTCTCTTCTTAAAGTTGGTCCATGGGGTTCATTATATGTGAACCTACTTTTGCCTCACCCTGTATGTTTCTCTCTACTTTTGTTTATGTTTGAAAGTTCCATAATAAAAAGTTAAAGAAAAATCTTTAACAGCACTAACTTGAATACTCATCAAATGGGAGAATTTACTGTGTGAAAGTAGAAAGCAACAGTATTTCCCCTCTGTATTTTGCTATACGCTGACTTTCTCAGGGTCCCCATGTGTTTTTATTTCTTCCTCTCCATCTCATACCCTTGCCCACCTCCTGTCTCTCAACCACTGCACGCTGTTCTCTCTCACCTGGGCTTAGGGACTCTCCACAACACTGCGTAAAGGTGGGTGGTTTTCTCACTCCTTTCCCACTTTCTCTCTTACATCCTCTAAATTTAGTTGTGTTGTTGTCACAGATGCTCCTTGACCTCTTTCACCTGTGGGGCAATGGCCCTAATAGAATCAGGTTCTTTAACCCCATGATAGGAATCGGAACAGGGGCTGGATACTTGTGCCCACGTGCTTGCTAAAAGCCTTTCTGCCTCCCCATGAACTACTCGTGTGCCAGAGCATCTAACCATCTGTGCACTTATTCAGAAATGGAGACTGGATATTCACTTGTGAGGTCCTGAGCGTGGCAACAATAGAAGCTCATTCGTTTGGGGAGGGGATGGGAGAATGTTGCATATCTAATTGTTTGGTTCCTTCCCTAAATGGATATCATTTATATGAAATGTACAGTAATATCTTAATTCCAACAAGACCTTTCCTTACAGTATTTTTCCCACTTTTTGTTTGTTTTGAGAAGTTTAAACTGCTTGCATTCCTAACATAGTTATCTGTCCTCACAACCTCCCTGGGAAGCAGGGAGAGGAAGCCACCTATCTCCAGAAGAGCAAATTCAGGCGGTGAGGATAGATGGCTGTTCAAGTCACCAGGAAAGCCAGCACATTTGCCTTATCCACCTGTACAGAGGCTCCTAAGGCTTGCAGGCTTTCCTGAGGGTGTGGCAGGAGGAACCTGCCTGTTTATCCCCATTGTTTTGCTCTGTTTACTTGCAGGATATGTAAGCACAGCATGTGATCTAATGCCAGGTGTTCTACGTGGAGGAACTTCATAGATCACATACACTTGAGCATGCTTTTTTCTGAATGGCAACCAGCTCCTTTCATTGGGCGCAACAACCTGAATCTGCCTCCCAAGCCACCACGGGTCCCCTCAGTCCTGAGAGAGACACCGCCGTTCCTCTGGCATTTTCCACTTTTAGCTGAAGAGCATCATGAGGCTTCTTCTCATTTTTTTAGATGGTTCTGATCAAATGGCACAGATGGTTCCAGATCGTCTGAAAGCCACAGGTTCTTCAGCCCTGATTTTAAGGCCTCCACCGACAGGACCTCCCCTTCAACTTCGCTTCCAGACCCCCAGCTGGTGCCTTTAACCCAGAGAGGACACTATGCTCACCTCACGGGTGCTTCTGCCCATTTGGCTTTCCCTTCCTGGAAATGTCCCAATCCTGGCTGAGCTCCTGCCCTAACTCCCAATAGCCCACTGACCTGTGCTCTGCACGTGGCTGCAGCCCTCACAGGAGTGAGTGTGAGGGAGTGAGTGTGAGGGTGTGTGATCGTCCTGCTCCACATACATCCCCAAGATCCCTGTGTGGCCTAGGACAGATGTGGACGGAGTGATTTGAACTTTAATTTCTCTTAAGAAAAATATCTTTGGTTTTACTTCCTAATGTGCTCAGTTCCATCTTCTACACAGTCATAGGTAATCAATACATTTAAGAGCCTGAGTAGAAAGAATGGGGAGTTATGCTCACGTGGCTGTGTCCATTAGGAAGGGGGAAGCTGTGGATTTGTTTGTGGTTCAAGTGGCCGCATGCGGTGGAGATCCACACATATCTGGGTCGGTTCAGGGTCCATTATGACATTTCACCACAGCGGCCAGCACTGCCCTGAAGGGGCCGGGCCCACTCACCTCTGCCGAAACGCTTTCTGGCCCATCTCTCTCGCAGCTCTCTTCACTTCCTCGGGAACCGCGTCCTTTTCGGCCTCAGAGACCTGGTACACTGTGTGGCCTGCGTCCAGCCGGTAAGGACCTCCTTTGCCACCCAGACCTGCAGTGTCTCTTCCCCCTGGAAGGAAGCCATGGAAGCTCAGGTTGTTTCTCTGATCCAGGCCACCAATCAAGTCAGGTCATGATTCCAGGCAGTCCCATGAAGCATATTAACTGTACTCATCTCTTAATTAAATATTCAAATGACCTTCTTTTGGAAACAAAGGGTGCCCCCACCCCTGCTCCAGATGCTTCTCCATTTCCTCAGCCAGGCAGATCTTACTCACATTTCAAGGCCCAGTCCAAATTCCAGGACATGCCATCTGATGACTCTGCCTCACAAGGACCAATGCTCCTGTGTACTCACTAGTCATTAACCTTTTTTCACCAACTATACGATGGATTGTCATAGTTTATATATCTCAGTAAATCTGCACTTACAAGAGTGACTTTGAATATAAAAAATTCTTAGTATATATTAATTAAATGAACAGCTTGACTTTTTCCCCCTCATGTTACCTTACTTTTCCTTAAAATAAGAAAGACAACTAGGGTATAGAAACCATTTCATATGTTTAGCAAATGATAAAAATGATGCACAGAGAGGTTAAGAGACTTGCTTACAGTTTCATATCAGTGGCTTAGCCAAGATTAGAAACCAATCATTATACCAACTTTGAGTTCTAGCCTAGAGTACTACACAACAGATAAGCACTACCAGCTTTAGAACAGTTTACAATACAAACCCAGTTTACATGCCTGTAAGTGTGCATTAGGTAATATTGCCCAGACTGTTTACCATGTAGATATAAATTAAATGCCTAGAAGACTAGGTAGGTAAATATAAGAAGTGGTAAGAACTTTGGCTAACTAGAGGACTTGCTTTGTCTAAATACATTTAAATTCAAATTATGTTTAAAAACTACATAGACCTAAAGAATACATATATTGACCAAGATTTGGTCTCTGGGCTACTAGTTTATTACCCTAGTTTTATAATTATTAAAATATTAGTAATCGGTTTCTTTGGTTCATTCACACATAATGTGGGAAATCAGAAGAGAATCCAATATTGGAGGGGCAGCATAATATAATACAGTATATTAGTATTATATAATATTGTATTGTACAGTTAAGCCAGACTGCCTGAGTTTGAATCCTCGCTATGCACTAGTGAGGTTTCCGTGAGGGACATTCCTTACTTCTCTGTGTCCCAGTGTCTTCTTCTGTAAAATGGGGTTGCTAATATCATTTACCTCATGGGACTGCCATAAGGCTAAAATGCTTAGAACTGTGTTTGGCACAAAGTAAGAGCTATATAATAAATGACTGATCCCACTATTATCATTTAGGTAACTTCCAGTCACATAAATGAGGTCAATTCTAAGTTCATAAGTGGAAAATTTGAAAGCTTTTAGGGTTTGGTGAAATTATGTCACATTTTTATTTTCTCCATTGGAGCCTTGATTGGTGTAGTAAGTCAAAGCAAGAACTCAGCATGTACTGCTTTTCTTATCAAAGTCCAGGTAGGCCATTTCCTTCTGGGAAATACCATAAGAACAGCCCATTAGTTATAGTAATTTTACCCTTTGGTTCAAGCACATCTTATTTCCTTCTTATTTAGATATTGGTGGTGGAAAATTCCTTCTTGGATGTGTGTTATTCCTGGCTCTCACGCATGGATAGCTATAGACGGAGGGGACCAGTTATTGGACAATGACAATGAGCTACAGAGGAGGAAAAGCTTTTATGTGACCCGACTCCTTTCACATAGGAGGTTCTCCTTAGGAATGGGTGGATCATGAATCATAGCTGAAAACTTCCTAGGCACTGAGGTGACATCATTTTTTTAGGAAAGAACCCACAACTGTTTGGAGATAGTATAAGTGATGGTCAGCATGAGTCACATGGTCCTTCGGGTAAGTCATACTGGTGGAGAGGGCATGAGGGGAGAGTTCTTCATAATCTCCACTTCCAGGAACCTTTGATTTGTACTAATCAAATAAGAAAAGCTTGCAGGAGGTTCTAGACTTCAAATAATCTTGAAGCTAACAGTGAATATCCCAAGTCAGTTCAGAGAGAAGTAGAAAATGGGCCAGGGAGGGGCTTTGATGACAAAAAAGGAATCAAATGACTTGCTGGGTCAGAGGTAAGTTCAATATTTGAGAACTCTGAGGGAAAAGAATGAGAGAGAGAAAAAGAATCTGGAGCAAAGGAGCCTTGAAAATTGAAAAAGACTGTGTAAAGCAAAAGCAGGCTCTCCAGTCCAGACAAATATGTGAGGTAGTAGATTCAAATTGAATAACAAGTACGAGCCTCCACTTCAGAGCAGCTAGCAGCTGGGAAACCTACATCTGGCCAGCTCGTTCTGCAGTGCATTCCATATGGATTCAATATGGCAGGTTTGAACTAATTTCCAGATCAGAGGACATTTCTAAAAATATCCTTTCTTTAGAGGATGCTTGATGAATAAACAGAGCAGGCAGCAAGTCCACAGGCCTACTTGATAGCACATTGTCCCAGCACAGAAACCATTTCCTCCTGAGGCTGTCAAGGCCAAGAGGCACAGACCATCCTAAGGGAAGGCCAAGTTCACAGCCCTTGCCAGCACTGCTCAGACCGAGATAAGATCAGACAGTGCGCACATAGTCTGGCTGGATTCCCGTGGCCCAGCAGATGTGTCTGCTCCAGCTGTCTGGGAAGAAAGAGGAAGACAGCAGCCATGGGAACAATGCTCTCCTCAGGCAGCCAAGAGGAAGGAATGGACCCCAGCCATCGGTTCAAACTGCAACCAACTCTCTTATCTCAAAATCCTGCATCCTCGTACTCACTTCTGAGACATGGAAGAGAAGCACCATTTCTTTTCCAAGTCAGTTAGTCAAGAAAGGATTTATTATAGATTTCTGGCATGATTCCAAGGGCAGGGAACTTTAAAAAAGGGATTAATGCTTTTAATGAATGCATTCTTCATGCCAGGCCCCGAGCTCAGTACTTTACAATCATAATCTCATTTAATTCTCACCACAACCTTGTGAGGCAGTTAATATTTCCCCCCTTTTACTGATGAAGCAGCTCTGGGTCCAAATGGCCTCAGGTCATAGCGTGGCAGAGTCTGTGGGACTCCAAATGGCAGGGTTTTTCCATGTTTTAATGCTGGGTTGGGACACAGGGCAAGGTTACGATCCCACTGGCTAATGGGAGACAGGAGAGGCGCTGGTCCCCAAGCCTCCCTAGGAGTGCTGCACTGTCTACGTGGGCTTGTGAAGTCTCAGGAAACCAGACCCAAGGGGATGCCAGTGCCACCAACCTGTTCCGCCAGCCCACGTATTGCCGCCCACGTGGGGCATGTTGTCAGGGTCTTCCTTCCCATGTTTGGGAGAACTCACATCTTCACCACTATCTCTGTTGATTGTAACCTAAAAATGAAGAATTGAGATCTTATCACTATCCCATGACCAACACCAAAACTGCAGGGCAGATAGAAGAATTCGTTTTCCCCAAGTCCTTAAGGTATCCCATAACCTAAGGCCATAAGGCACAAAAGATACTGTTATTATCTGGCAAAAATCTCATCAGATTTAACCTCCATTGTGTTGGGAAGGAGACAAATTGAAAAAAAAAAATTTTTTTTTTTTTTTTAAGAAAAGCATTTACACAAGGAACAAGATCTACCAGAAGCAGGGAAAATGGTCTCACCAGACAGCCTCTCTCCCAGAGGTTTAGAAGGACCACTGCCTACCTACTCCTGCTGAGTCACAACAGATATACATTAACCTATTTAATTTCTAAAGAAATCTCATTCTCTGGAAAATGTCATTTCATATAAAATAAACAGAAAATACCCAAGAAAATGTCATCTATTGTGCTTCAGTGATATAGGCTGTATACACAGACACTAAAAACAGTTTATTTATTTTCTGGACCCACTCTAATTTTATTATGGTATTTTGTACTTTTCCTAATTCATCTCAATTTTAAAATTGGATTTACTATTCCTACAATTCAAACAGAATACGTAGCACCTTAGCCTTCCACTGTGAGAGCCTGTGGCTTCTTAGTCCCTAATTTCATTCAGCACAGATTTACCAAAAGGACTGATAACCACACAGGAATTCCAATCCTGTGGGCAGTTCAGGAGATATTACTCCACAATTAAATGAATTGAAGCAGTTACATTTCATGTACCCTATTAGCCTGTTCCCAAATACAATGATTTTCAGGGCAGACCTGATCAGATGTTCATTTATTTGTTCAAATAAGACTCACAGAAAAACGTACTGGCAGGACATCATGCAAAGTACCATCTATACTAATAAAGGGGTAATATGCTATTTAGACCGAACATCTTCTGGACATCCTTCCGGACAAAGCCATGGTGGCGGGGGCCAAGGCAGAGGAGGTTAGAGACAATCAGGCCGGCAGGGGAGAGCAGTTGGGGACAATCAGGCCAGAAGGGGAGAGCAGTTAGGGGCGATCAGGCTGGCAGGGGAGCAGTTAGGGGGTGCTCAGGCCAGCAGGGGAGCAGTTAGGGGGTGATCAGACAGGCAGGCAGAGGCAGTTAAGGGCAATCAGGCTGGCAGGCAGAGGCGGTTAGGGGCAACCAGGCAGGCAGGCAGGTGAGTGGTTAGGAGCCAGCAGTCCAGATTATAAGAGGGATGTTCCCCGAGTGGTCCTGGATTGGAGAGGGTGCAGGCTTGGTTGAGGGATGCCCCCCTGCCTCCATGCACGAATTTCATGCACCAGTCCTCTAGTGGGGTCCATAAAAGCCAGGGAGGATTGGTCTGCCCTCAAACTGTTTACAGTGAGGCAGGAGAGGTTGCAAATGGACCTGGAGTATGAGGCCAGAGCAGTCTTTATAGGTGACCCAGTCATTGTTAGGACTTTCATTCTGGATGTTAAGATTAATGAAGGCATGTAGGTAATTTAAGGCCTTCACAAATAAAATGGCTATAAAGAATGAATTCAATGTAACTTCCATTGTCTTATATCCAGATGAGTTCATTTCAAATGTTATGACATTGTAAAGAGATTTCAATTAACTGGATCTTTCTGCCAATAGCTTTGGCAGCATTAACAGAATTTTTGCCATAACCTCAGCATACTTTAAGAAAATTTACCAGCCAGGACATGACAATTGATATGAATTCCACACACATAATCATGCTCTAAAAATGGGTGAACATAATTTTTTCTTCTTTTAAAAAATTAAACTATGCACAGTAGTTAGTAACATTTAGAGAACAAATAAACATTTAAAATGCTTTCCCCAAAACTTGCCACCATTTTCCAACTTGTCCATAGGTAATGTAATAAGTAATAAATTAAAATTTGTACACTGACTACAATAATTCTAAACCAGCACTAACCAATAACGTTTTCTGTGTTGATGTCCATGTTTACACCCATAGGATCTAATATAGTAGTTACTGAGTATTTGAGGACCTGAAATTTAAATTGTATTTAATTAAGTAAAATTTAATTTTAAATACTCACACATGGCTAGTGGCTATCTCATTGGACAGCAAAGCATAAGGACAAGCTTGTCTCAGCCCTGGAGATACTATTTAGAGATTTTGGTAACATCTTGTAGATGTTCTTCATGAGAAATTAGAAAAACAAGAAACAATTCAAAAGTGGGATAGTTATATTGTTGCTAATTTAAGAAATCTATCCCCTCCTCCCACTGCCAGAGCAGCAGTATTCCCCCGCCCCCACACCCTCAGATCCACTAGCCCACTTTGAGAGAACCACTACCTCTATCCTCCCAACTATTGGTGGCCCTGCCCTGCCTTGCACTCTATAACACTGTCAGTGTGCTGTGGCCAACCTGGTCCCACAGTGCAGAAGGATTTCCAGGAGGTCAAGGCAGACTACAGGAAAAACTGAGTTGGGCAGGGGCCATTTTCCTTCCCACGCCCGACCATAGCCACTGTTCCTGTACAGAGCCCTCCCTTCACACAACCAAATCTTGGGTTGCTTGGGTTGCTGATGAACTCTGTTGGCCTCTAATAAACCTTGATGACTCCTTGACACCCCATCTCACCACAATGGTCTGAGGGTACCTGGTGGATGGCAGCTGACCTTAATGAACCCTCAGACTGTTGATGAGTAGCCTCAGACCTAGCACTGGCTCCAGATTTGACGCTATATCAGTCTGGGGAATACCACTCATCCCTCCCTGGTGACTCACTGAGAACCTACCTCATGCAACTTGCTTACCACCAAAGCTTCTTTCAGTGACTGAGTTTAACAGGCAGCTAGGAGGCAGAGATTGACCTTAGGCAGCCTTGGATCTCTTGCTGACCTGCCCCCAGGCTTGATGCTGGTGGAAGTCAGCCTTGGTGCTCAGCTTGGTCCCTTCCACACACACCCAGGCCCAACAGAGGCAGCCACAAACTATGGATTGCTTTGTAGCCCCAAATAGGTAGCTCAGGGCTTGTCATAGGCAGCACCTAACATTGACCTGCACTGGCGGCCTTCTCAGGGTGGGATTCAGATCACATCAGAGCACAATCCAAGTAGCTCTACAAGCACCACATCCAAAAAAAGATCTCAGTAGGCACCAGACCCTGTTGAAGCAAATTCCTCTTTGTGTGGTCAGCTGCCTCACAGCAGCTCACACATTGAGGTGGGGGATGATCCTAATAGCCAACTGGAGAGGCAACCCATCCCACATGAATTAACAGCAATTAAGACTCAAGTACAACATGAGGGCTCACATAACCCACATGCTGGACATTCCTGAAGCACTTAGTTCTGGTGATTAGGGAGACTGTGCTACTGAGCCCCACAAGACTTCTACCACATAAGGCAACCATACCAAGACTGGCAGAATTGAAGATCGACCTAATACACAGAAACAAATACAGAGAAGCAGCCAAAATGGGGAGACAAAGAAACATGCTCCAAATGAAAGAACACAAGAAATTCCCAGAAAAAGAACTAAGTAAAATGGAGGGAAGCAATCTACCTGATACAGAGTTTAAAAGAATGGTTATAAAGACACTCAAGGAACTTAGTGAAAATTTCAACAAAGAGACAGCAAGCATAAAATAGGACATAAGAGCCATAAAAAAATAGAAATTATGAATACAATATCTGAAATGAAGAATAATCAAGAAGGAATAAATATCAGGTTAGATGAAGCAAAGGATCAAATCAGCAATTTGGAAGACAGGGGAGTAAAAAAATAAACAATCACAGCAGGAAAAAAAAGAATTTTCAAAAAATGAGGACAGTCTAAGGCAGTAGTCAGCAAACTGCGGGTCACAAACCACATGCGGCTCTTTGGCCCCTTAAGTGTGGCTCTTCCACAAAATACCATGTGCGGGCGCTCACATACAGTGAGATTGAAACTTCGTGGCCCATGCGCAGAAGTCGGTTTTCAGCCTGGGCGAGTCTACAACAGAAGAAGTACTGTTGATATTTGGCTCTGTTGACTAATGAGTTTGCCGACCACTGAACGAAACAAGTATAGAAGATGAGTGTAAAAGGGAGAGTTGGAAGGGGTCGACCTCAGCAAATGTACCTCAATCAGATTGAGGACGTTTTTAGCAAAGGCCAGCTTAGGAGTACCCTAATTAAGTTAATAACAATATACCTACGTATATAGTTTAAGTTTAAAAAATTTGGCTTTTAAAAGAAATTTCAATCGTTGTACTGTTGATATTTGGCTCTACTGACTAATGAGTTTGCCGACCACTGGTATAAGGGACCTCGGGGACATCAAGTGTTACAATATCTGCATCATAGGGATACCAGAAGGAGAAGTGAGAGAGCAAGTGATCAAGAACTATTTGAAGAAACAATGGCTGTAAACTTCCTGTGAAAGAAGAGATATACATGTCCAGTTCAGGTGATCAGGGAGACTGTGCTACTGAGCCCCACAAGACTTCTACCACATAAGACCCAAACAAGATGAACTCAAAGAGGCACACACCAAGATACATCATGATTAAAATGCCAAAGTTCAAAGGCAAAGAGAGAATCTTAAAAGCAGCAAGAGAAAGACAGTTACCACAAGGGAGCTCTTATAAGACTGTCAGTTAATTTCTCAACAGAAACATTTCAGACCAGAAAGGATTGGCACAAAAAGTTCAAAGTGAAAAGCAAGGACCTACAACCAAGGCTACTCTTCCGAGCAAGTTTATCATTTAAAATTAAAGGTGAAATAAAGAGCTTCTCAGACAAGATCAAGCTAATGGAGCCCAGTATTACAAGAAATGTTAAAGGATCTTCTTTAAGAAGAAGAAAGGGGGGGGGGGATGAGTATAAATATAAAGAATAAAATGGGTATATACATGTACCTATCAATAACCACTTTAAATGTAAATGGCTTAAATGCTCCAATCAAAAGACATAGAGTAGCTGAACGAATAAGAAAACAAAACCCACATAGATGCTGTCTACAAGAGAC